GCACACATCCCCCAGATTCTGCCTTGTTGGGGTAGGAGTCACTGAAGAAGGCTGGGGAGAGTGGAGATTGCCCATTGTGGGGTCTGAGGGTAGATGGGGGTGGTCCTCTGCCTCCTGCAACACCCTAAGAGGGAAGCCCCATGCTATTTCCTTCCAGAGGTGTGTGGCCACCCGCTGAGGCATTCCTGGCTGCTGCACAGAACACCTGAGGATCAGGATGCCCAGGGCATTGGTGCAGATCACAAACGCTCACACCTCTGAGTTCGAGAGCCTGCCCGATGATAGCCAGGGACTGCAGGGTCATCCTGACTCCCCCTTCCAAAGCCCAGCGGTATCCACGCTCCACCAGCTGCAGTGGCCTCTGGGTGCCTCTTGTGCCATCAATGCCTGCTCTGTGTCCTGAGAGAGTAGGCTGGGTAGGGCCTTGGGCCCTGGCCAGCTTGGTCCCCTCTCAGGGTGGCACCAGGCTGGACTCCTTGGCTCTGGCGTCGAGGACTTCTGTAGGCATGCTGCATCCTTAGAGCCTGCTGCCCCTGAAGCCCCCCACTGAGCCTGGGTACTGTGCTCACTTCTGAAATCAAGCCCTGAAAACACCCTCACAGGCTCAGAGAATGGGGACTTGTCCCCACGGGCTCGGGTTTGGGAGACTTGACTTTTCTATACTCCAGCAACCTTTTCATATAAGTCCCGCTCAACACCTGGAAGCTGGAGGGATGCTGCCTCTGCCCCACCTGCCTTTTCCCTGGTGGTACCCAGGCCTTTCACGGGGGTTCTGTAAGCCTCAGAGTGGTTGGCCGCTGCTCTGATGCCCCTCACTCCTGCCCACTCATGTGCCCACTCAGGCAAAGCCTCTCCCTTCACCGCCTTGCACCACCCAGCTTGGGCTGAAGGACACATCCTGCTTCTGGCCCCAGCTCAGGGGCCCACCGACATCCTCCCTGCATGCACCACTGCTTCCCAGCCCCCAAGAGGGGAGTGAGCAAGGGTGGCCACCTCTGGCCAGCATGAGCCCACATTCAAGCCATGCTTCTCCCCACTAAAGGCAGCAGTTCACTCTCAAGACAGCTTCCACCTACCTCATCTAAGACTCCCAACAAACCCAAGAGATGAGATCATATTGCCCCCAAATCATAGCTGAGGGAGCTACCCAAAGAAGCTCAAAGTCAGAGTTAGAATCTGAGGTGTGTGACCCCAGGGGCCTGTGTAATCCCCC